AAGGAAGACCGGGTGGGGGGTCGGACTACACATCCCATCCTCCCCAGCCACGGGATCTCGACGGGAAGCCGCCTCCCGGGAGAGCCTGGCATCTTCGGGGAAGGACGGGGGACCCACGCCGCCCTCCCCGCTCAGCAGAGGAGGCTGGCTGGGGAGGATGGGAGGTGTAGTCCGCAACGCCCCGCGAGCTTCCGGCCGGGCAGGATTGAAGGTAACGGAGGAAGGAAAACGGGGGCAGCTCGAGGAAACGGGGGGGGGGGGGGGCCCCAGGGGGGGCCCAACCCGAGGGGCCCCCCCCCCCCAAAAAAGAAATGCCCTCACCTGCGCGCCGTCGAACCTCAACTGCCGCCTCTGGGAGATGCTCCGCCTTCTTCCCTCCATTGGGCTCTGCTTCAACCGCTTCCGAGCTGTCATTGGCTCATGGAAACGTCCATCCTCCTTTCCCTTCGTGGTAGGCCTAGCTGCCCGTCATTCAAAGAAATAGAGCCTACCCCCTAGCGAAGCCCCGCCCTTCGCTTTGTTGGTGTCGCGCCCTCTGATTGAAGAGCCGCCCCATCTGCGTCGCGGGGGTGGGGTGGGGACGCGGCAGCTCGTCCCTGATTCGTCCCTTGAGGACGCATAGAACTCCCGTTTGCCCGTCTACTGGAGGCTCAGCTTGTCAATCCTGGAGCCGGCGGGGATGCTCCTCGCCCCTCCGAAGGGGCGGAGAAAAGGTTGAAAAAGGATGCCGCCTTTAGCGTCACCTAGCGGCTGTTCGGGGCGAAGCGGAGCGACCAGCACTTTTCAGACATAGACTTCGCAGGTTCGAGACCCGCCTGCGCCAGGTGTAAAGCAGGCAAAAGGATGCGCGTTGCAGAAACCGAAAGCAAAATTGCTTTTTTTTTGTTTTTTTACCTCCGTTAGTGTACGGTATTCAATTAGGGATGCGCTTACGCTCCAGTTTCCAAACAGATACGAAACTGGCATGTGGAGTTTTCGATGCATTGGTTGTTATTTCATTGGACTGGAAATTTTAAGAATTCTGCATTGTTAGACGTGCAGCTCTTTTGATTTAACGGGACAAGTGGCAACGTGGGCATTTTCCTGAGCATTCAGTGAAATGTAGTGAATGGCAAATCAATAACTGTTCAGTTACTATGTAAGTAATTCAGTATCCAAGAGCGACGGATGGAGGCACATCAGGACACTTCTCCTTCTCAAGCTTTAATATTTTCTGCCTGGTTTTCCAGAAGTTGCTTGTCTTTATTCCAAACCTCTCCAGGCACCAACAGAAAATTGCTTCAACTAAGAAACCTGACCATTAAAAAAAAAAAAAAAAAAAGAGCCAGAAATTGCAGAACTGAAGTCTGAATAAATTCTGGGAAAAAATGAGAACATCCAAATCCATATCCGATTTAAAAGAATCAGCATCATCAAGACTTCTTTAATGAAGAAAATTGATCCTCCTCTCATTAAAAACAAATTTCAATTAAGTGTGGCAGCATGAAACTCCAGCAGGATGTCATCAGACATTCTGGAATACGACACAAGGAAAATCCACAAATCCTTATAAGATCTTAGCTAGCTTTTGCATCAGGACCAAAGGAGCAGAATTGTGGCAAATAGAAAACTTCAGGGGTCTCTCTTGTTTTTTTTAAGAGTGCACAAAGGATGGGAAAGCCGTTCTCTGCTCCTACGCCATTTCTGCCTGGAACTCTGAAAACAGAGAAAATAATGTATTGACTTTGATCTTGCCTTTATTATTTTTACAAAGTGGCAAACATATCCAACACACCTCCTAATTTTCCCGCAACAACAACCCTGTGAGGTGGGTTGGGAATGACCCAGAGAAACCCAGCTGGCTCTCATGCCTAATGTTGGACTAGAACTCCCAGTCTCCTGAGGATTGGCCCAAAGTCACCAAGCTAGCTTTCAGGGCTATTTCTTGCCTGGGTGTAAAACCTTGCTTTCTCCACATTAAATTTCATTTTGTTGGATAGGGCCAATTGTTCAAGTCTGTCAAAATCTTTTGGGGAGGTTGGGTTTGGGTTTGGGAGGTAGTCCTGCCAGGTGAGTATCACCTGCAAATTTGATAAGGCCCCCTTCTATTCCCTCACCCAAATCATTTATGAAGATATTGAAGAGTACTGGGCCTAAGATGGAACTTCGTGGTACCCCACTGCTTACTTCCCTCCATGTAGTACCATTAAGGATGACTCTTGAGTACGGTTTGGCAGCCAGTTACAAATCCATCTGGTGGTGATGCTTCCTATCCCACTTTTTCTAACTTACTAAGAGGTAGGTTGTAGTCTACTTTGTCAAATGCCTTGCTGAAGTCTAAATATACTATGTCCACAGCATTTTATTCATTCACTTAGTCGCTTTGTTGAAGAATTATTGTATGACTGTATGAATGACTGTATCAGTGGTGGGATTCAAATTTTTTTATTAACAGTTCTGTGGGTGTGGCTTGGTGGGCGTGGCTTGGTGGGCATGGCAGGAGAAGGTTACTGCAAAATCCCCCTTCCCTCCCCACCCCACTAACCTGCTTTCCAGCTCCGTTCGCCTGTGCAGGGCAACCAAAGGAGACCCAGCCGATCAGCTGGGACTCAATGGGAGGCAGAGAATAGATGGGAGCGGGGCCAGTCAGAGGTGGGATTTGCCGGTTCTCCAAACTACTCAAAGTTTCCGTTACCGGTTCTCCAAAACCAGTCAGAACCTGCTGAAATACCAACTCTGGACTGTATGAATGTAACTTGTATCCTTACAATTTATATTGACTATTTCCTAGTATGATTTGATTGCTTATTGTACCCTATGACTATCATTAAGTGTTGGACCTGATGATTCTTGATGAATGCATCTTTTCTTTTATGTACCCTGAGAGCATTTGCACCAAGACAAATTCCTTGTGTGTCCAATCACACTTGGCCAATAAAGAATTCAATTCAATTCAAATAAGATTGGTTTGGCATGATCTGTTTTTGATGAACCCATGTTGACTTCTGGTTATAACTGCATACTTCTTTTTACAGATCGGTTGCTTGATTATCTTTTCCAGGATCTTCCCGGATATTGATGTCAGGCTGATGGGTTTGTAGTTTCCTGGGTCTGTTTCCCCCCACTTTTTTTTTGAAGATGGGAACCACATCCGCTGTTTTCCAGTCCTCAGGTGCTCCAAGACTGTTGAAAGATATGGTTCAGTGGTTCTGAGATCACACCTGCCAACTCCTTCAGAATTGTGGGATGTCATCTTCCCAACTTCTCACCCAGGGGTTGGTTGGGGGAAGAGGCAGCCATTCCTCATCAGAGGTGATCTGGAGTCGGTCATCTCAAAAAAGCCAACACAATCCTAAGTTGCATCAACAGAGGGATACAGTCAAGATCAAGGGAGGTACTAATACCAATCTATAAAGCCTTAGTAAGGCCACACTTAGAATCCTGCATCCAGTTTTGGTCACCACACTATAAAAAAGATGTTGAGACTCTAGAAAAAGTACAGAGAAGAGCAACCAGGATGTTGAGGGGACTGGAGGATAAAACATACGAGGAACAGTTGCAGGAACTGGGCCTGGCTCGTCTAGGGAAGAGAAGGACCAGGGGAGACAGGAGAGCATCTTTCAATATTTGAAGGGAGAGGGAGGGAAAGGAAAGGAAAGAGAAAGAGGAAGGAAGGAAGGAGAGAAAGAAAAAAGAGGGAAAGAAAGAGGGAGAGAAAAAGGAAGGAAGGAAGGAAGGAGAGAAAGAAAGAAAGAGGGAGAGAAAGAGTGGGGGAGAGAGCAAGAGAGAGTGACTTGAGGCTAAAACATATAATGAACTGGGCCTGGCTAGACTAGGGAAGAGAAGGACCAGGGGAGATAGGAGAGCATCTTCCAATATTTGAGGGGCTGCTACAGAGAGGAGGAAGGGGGTCAGGTTATTTTCCAAAGCACCCGAAGGCCAGACAAGGAATAATGGATGCAAACTGGTCAAGGAGAGAAGCAACCTGGAAATAAGAAGAAATTTTCTGACAGTCGTTTCTGACAGCTCCATTGTAATGCTATTCTATTACTGCTTCTTCCCACCTGGTCTTTGGAAACAGGGTGATTGTATTCACAATGGGGAATTAAGAGGGGTCTCTTCCTGTTCAGCATTAAGCCTTGGTGGTGATGATGGTGATGATGATGATGATGATGATGATAATAATAATAATAATAATAATAATAATAATAATAATAATAATAATAATAATAATAATAATAATAAATAATGTGATTATACTTACAGATAATCAGAGTTGGAAGGGACCTTGTAGGTCATCTAGTCCAACCCCCCGCCCAAGCGGGAGACCCTACACCATTTCTGACCAGCAGCAGTCCAGTCTCTTCTTGAAAGCCTCCAGGGATGAAGCTCCCACAACTTCTGAAGGCAACTTCTGTTCCCTTGGTTGATTCTTCCCACTGTCAGAAAATTTCTCCTTATTGCCAGGTTGAATCTCTCCTTGTTCAGTTTCCCTCCATTATTCCTTGTCTGGCCCTTGGGTGCCTTGGATAATAGCTTGACCCCCTCCTCCTCTCTGTGGCAGCCCCTCGAATATTGGAAGATGCTCTCCTGTCTCCCCTGGTCCTTCCCTTCCCTAGACTAGCCAGGCCCAGTTCCTGTAACTGTTCATCGTATGTTTTAATCTCCAGTCCCCTCATCATCCTGGTTGCTCTTCTCTGCACTCTTTCTAGAGTCTCAACCTCCTTTTTATAATATGATGACCAAAACTGGACGCAGGACTCTAGGTGTGGTCTTACTAAGGCTTTATAGAGTGGTCTTAGTCCCTCCCTTGATCTCGATTGTATCCCTCTGTTCATGCAACTTAGGATTGCATTAGCTTTTTTGGCGGCTGCTGCACACGGCTGGCCCCTATTTGGCTGGTTGTCCACGAAGACTCCAAGATCTCTCTCCCAGTTCCTGCTATTGAGCCTGGTTTCACCCAGTCTATATGTGTCCTTTTGTTTTTTCTTGCCTAAGTGCAGGACTTGACTTTTCTCTACATTGAATTTCATTTTGTTAGATAGGGCCCAGTGTTCTAGTCTGTCAAGATCCATCTGGATCTTGAGCCTATCTTCTTGGCTATTCCTGCCAGCTTAGTATCCTCTGCAAATTTGGTAAGTTCCCCTTCTACTCCCTCATCTAAGTCATTAATGAAGATATTGAAGAGTCCTGGGTCTAAGACGGAACCTTGTGGCACCCCACTGCCTACTTCCCTCCATGTAGACTTAGACCTATACTGAATACAGACAATCGGTCAAAGAAGACAACATCAACATCTGGAAATCTACCTAAAGTGGAAAGCAGTTTCAATGCAGAAGGTCATTGTTATTCTGAGGAATTTTTAGTGACATGTTTTGATTTCTTCTTCATGTTTCAGTTTCTTACTGGAGGCCGATTCTGCCATTCTTCCCTGCGTCCTCTGATTGGATTATCGTCCCACGGGAGGGCCCTTGGGCCCCACCCACTTCCATTCAGCATGGGAACGACAACTCCGCCCCTTTTCCATTCATGATTTCCGTTCTCCCCCCCCTTCCCTTGATGACTCTGTCTGAAATAGAGAGGAGTTCGCAGGGAAAGGTAACACAACGGGGACACACACACACACACACACACACACACACATGTGTGCCTGGTAGTTCGGCCTTGGAAGATCTTTGTCACAGGAAAACTTTGGTTTTGTTTTGAGTGAGCTCTTAAAGAGGGCCATAGATCTAGGGGCTTGACCCATCCCGAAAAGGCCGGACAAGGATATTTTCAGTCCCTTGGAAATTAGACAAAAGTTCGGAGCCCACCCTGAATTCAAAAGTCCAAGCTATCCTGGTGCAGGTTTTTGTTGCATTGAGTGCTGGGTGATACTTTTCTGCTATCATTATAGGCTGGGAAACACTATAAATAGCACATTGTAAAGCAGGGGGTTGGACTAGAAGATCTTCAAGGACCCTTCCAACTCTGTTAGCCTGTATTCTGTAAATAGAATAGAATAAGGAATGGAATGGAATAAAAGAGAAGAGAAAATAGAAGAGAATACAAAACATAAGAGAATAGAAGAGAAGTAGAAATAGAAGAGAAGAGAAAATAGAAGAGAAAATAGAAGAGAGTATAGAGAATACAATAGAATAGAATAACAGAGTTGGAAGGGACCTTGGAGGTCTTCTAGTCCAACCCCCTGCCTAGGCAGGACACCCTACACCACTTCAGACAAATAGTCATCCAATCTCTTTTGAAAAACTTCCAGTGTTGGAGCTCGAAGTAAAGTTCTACACATCGCCCTCAGCTTACAACAGTTCATTTAGTGACCAAAGTTACAACAGCACTGAATAAAGGGACTTAATGACAGTTTTTTTAACACCGTCGCAGCTTCCCCGTGGTCACGTGATCAAAATTCAGAGGCTTGGCCACTGGCATGGACTTATGACAGTTGCAGTGTCTCGGGGTCACGGGTCCCCTTTTTGTGACCTTCCGACCAGCAAAGCCAATGGAGGGGAAGCCAGATTCACTTAACAACTGCCAACCTTGAGCCGGTCAGGATTGAACTCTTGGCAGTGGAAAGAAATAGCCCTCAATACTGCATTCTAACCATTGTGCCACCACAGCTCCAGGACCCTGAGGTCCTTGGTGCTCTCTGAGCGTTGTTGCTTTTTTCCAGATGTTTCACTACCCAACCAGGTAGCATCATCAGGGCTACAAGGCAGTTGGGTTTGTGGAGTAGAGAAGAGGAGGAGGAGGAGGAGGAGGAGGAGGACTGTGGGGTCCTTGGTGCTCTCTGAGTTGGTGGTTTTCTTGCAGACGTCAGCCAATCAGTTCACATCACGAGTGTACTACTAGCCGGCAATTCTTGAAGAGAAAAATGGTCAATTAAAACGGTGGCCCCTTTTTCTCAGTTTTATGAGACTTTGACAGGGAAATCTCATCAGTTTCCAACCACAGTTGACAAACGATTTCCTCCTCCTCCTCCTCCTCCACCACCATCTCCACCATCAATACATCACCTAAAACAGAAATGGAGCGGGACCAAATTTTAGACGGATCCAATGACAATTTTGCAGCTTTTGCGCTCAGGGTTGCCCAATGCCTAAGCTAACATTGCAATTAAAAAAAGGGGGGGGGGGGGGAGAGTTGAGCTTTCTTCCTTGGCAGATCAAGGGATCTGTCTCGATCTGGTCAGGATCCACTCCAGGAAGACCTAGATGGAGACCTTTGAAAAGGAAGAGCTGTTTTCCCTGGCCATTTACATTTCAGACTCCACCTCTCCGGTGCAGTTATTAACATTGTTTAAATTGCAGTTTCATGTGTGTGTTTGTGTGTCCTCTGCTCATTCAGAGAGGGGGGCCTGGCTGGGATAGATTGCCCTGGTCACCATGTTCTCCACTTCATCCTGGTCTTCTCCAGCCTGCGTTCCAGCTATGGCCCAAGGGGTCTTCTTTGACCGATGGAAGGATTACCTCAACCTCTCCAAAGTGGTGATGGAGATCGTTGGGGAGCGGAAGAAGCCACAAAGGTCCTCCCCTCCTCGGAAAGACCCTTTGAGCGTCACCGTTCTGCATTGGGTGAATGGAGGCAACAAGAGTAAGAACCCCAGTCCCAAGACCCACGGCACCCGCAGAGACCAACCAAGCCAAGGCACCTGCAACTTTTGCAAGCACAACGGAGAGTCCAAAAAGGTGTATTCTTCTCACACCTTGAAGAGGGCCGACGGGGTGGTAGTTTGCCCCATTCTGCGCAATTACACCTGCCCGCTTTGCGGGGCCACCGCCGACAAGGCCCACACGCTGAAATACTGCCCCAACAATAAGGCCAAGCAATCTTTGTACCGCAGAAGTGGGCGCAACTCGGCCGGACGCATGATCAAGAGATAAAGGGACACCCCCGAGAGGAGCTACACCCCCCTCCCTGATCCTTCTTCCAGTTTCCAGTTCTTCAAAAATCACAGTTGCCAAAGAGGTGATTTTGCATGACTTTAGTGTTATTATATTTATATATTTATATATATATATATATATGATGGGTGAGACCAAACTTTAGTTTTGAAAAAGAGGAAGATTTGTGTCTTTCAACTGCACCAAACTTCAGTTTCGGACAGAAAAAAGCAGGACTCTTATTTTCCAAAATTAAACTTGTGTTTGTTTGTTTGTTTGTTTGTAATTGTCTTGAATAATAATGTGCAAAAGAAGTCACCGTTTGCCTTAAATTGATAAAAGGAAAATAGGTGGTGGGTTACTTTCCTTTTCTTGAAATGTTCCTTACTGGCCCATGTTAGACAAAGTTTTGAGCTACCTTGAACAGTATTTATATCTGGGTTTGTAATAGGTAAAGTTTATTATGATTGGGTTGTTTTTAAACTACCATGTTGACTTTTAATAAACAGTGTTTTTTTTCATGAGTGCATCAAATCACTGCTTCCTTTCTTTGTTTTTAATCCCTGGGTTGAAGTTTCCTGGGTTCTCTACAGTTGATTCTTTGGGTGATACTCAAAACTTCACATTTAATTTTGATTTGGACCGAAGAAGATTTCACTTGGTTCAAGTTGCGTAGTTGTATCTTAAGATGCAATTCTTGTGGTATTTTGACGCACCAGTTAGGGGGGGAAATCACAAACTGAAAATGATATTCTTTTTTCTGCACGCCAATCCTGTTTTTTGTTTTATTTTTGCAACCTCTGCAAATCTTGAAAACCAGCCGTTATTTCTGCAATCCGCATAGCTTTTTAATGCTTGGGGAGGATCAAGTTTTTACTTCCAGCAGTGAAAACTCTCTTGAAAAATTCCAGATTCTCTTTTTGGCTCTTGAGTCTCGCACCATCATCATTTTGTCTTAGTTTGCACACATTTATTGTGGTATGGGTTTTGTATAGACTTAAATAGCACACAAAGGGTTGCAATCCATTGCTGATATTAGGTTTGCCTTGCTGGCATGAGGAAGAATGGAATTCTAAGCAGCTCCAAATGAAACCTAGAACTTAGAATAACAGAGTTGGAAGGGACCTTGGAGGTCTTCTAGTCCAGCCCCCTGCCTAGGCAGGAAACCCTACACCGCTTCAGACAAATTGTTATCCAACCTCTTTTTAAAAACTTCCAGGGTTGCAGGATTCACAACTTCTGGAGGCCAGTTGTTCCACTGGTTAATTGTTCTCACTGTCAGTAAATTTCTCCTGAGTTCTAGGTTGCTTTTCTCCTTGATTCGTTTCCACCCATTGCTTCTTGTCCTGCACAGAACCCAAGCCCAGGCAGCAACACCTATTTGAAAAGTTTGGAAACGTCACAAAACGTGCTGGATTCTTTCCTGCAAGAGGCAATCCCATCTGCCCAGCTGGAGGGGTTTCTCCCAACATTATTACCTGAGCCTTCCCAGGGGCTAGAAACTTGATTCGTTCATATCATTCCATCCTGCAAATCCAAATGAACTTTTCTCAGGGTTTGCAATCAGTTGAGAGAGAAAGAAAAAGGAAAGGATTAAACAGTCAGTTTGGCAGTTGGACCAAGTTAGGAAACAACTCTGCCCCAAAACATCAGGTGTTTGTTTGAATAGCAACAATTCTCCAATAACCCGTGAATGTCTGTGTGTGTGTGTTTGTGTGTAGGAAAGAGAAAGAATAAGATAAGGGAGAGGAAGAGCCTCCTCAGTCCTCCACCAACTGGTGTTTTCACATGTGTTGTGATTGTAGCTCCTAAAATACTGTTTATATAACTCTAAATCAGTGTTTTTCAACTGATGAGTTGAAAAACACTGATTTAATTCAATCAGTTAGGTTGCTTTAAGATGTGTGGACTTTAAGTCCCAGAATTCCCCAGCCAGCATGCTTTGATCTTGGATGATTAGGAAAAGCCATTTGGCAGGAGAATAGAACAGCCTGTCCCGGCCTTATGGCTATTGCAGACCCTGGAAGATGATGGATTGGGCAGAAATTCCATTTAGAAGAGTGGTATCTCAGCATTGGCTAATTGAAGATGGGTGGGCTTCATTGGTTGGCTGGGGAATTCTGGGAGTTGAAGTCCACCCGTCTTCAAGCAGCCAAAATTGAACAATCGAATTAGAACATTCCCGCCACACCAATGTCCTTCCAGAGCCGCACGCTTTCACTTCCTATTGTCCACCTTGAGTTGGGCGTGGTCAACCTTCTCTCAGTCTTCCTTCACCTAGAGCAGAGGTCTCCAAACTTGGCAACTTTAAGACTTGTGGACTTCAACTCCCAGAATTCTCCAGCCAGCATAGCTGTTGGCTGAGGATAGCTGGCTTAGTATAGCTGGCTGGAGAATTGTGGGAATTGAAGTCCACAAGTCTTAAAGTTGCCAAGTTTGGGGATCCCTGACCTAGAGAACCTCCAAGATCCGTTGGGGAGGAGCATGGGGGCTCGCAGGTCCAGCACCTTTGCAGGTGACCCAAGTTGAAGGAAGGCAGATGTGTTTGCAGAGATCTGGAGGAGGGTCTGCCTTTAAATGCTCCTCCTGCATCCCCCCCCCTCATGGTTGGATGCATGGAGCCTTGATAGCCCCCATCCCACCCCCAGGTGGTTCCTGGGTTTGCATGGCTGGGCTGCAGCTTCAGGCTGTGTTTCCAGCTCCTCCTTGCAGGAAACCCAACCCTCCTTCCCCCCAGCCACAAGATTTCTGCCTCTGAGAGCAGAAAGTCCTGGGTCAAACTGGAATTTTGTATCTTTCAGCAGACGACCCTTCTGCTGAAAGCAGTGGGGGGTTTGAAGTAGACACTCTCTTCAAACTGACCTAACAGCTACAGGGAGAAGAGAAAACATTGGGACCCTCCTGCCCTGCCCCCCCCCCCCCCCCCCCCTCCCGCCCCATCCCACTCCATTCATCCCAAAATAAGAGGTTAGGGGTCTGGGGTCTGCTCTGAGCTGAGAGTTGGTAACAGATAATCAGAGTTGGAAGGGACCTTGTAGGTCATCTAGTCCAACCCCCTGACCAAAGCAGCAGACCCTACACCATGCACCAAGCTACCAATATTTTGTTTCAACCCTGAGCTACAAAGATTTTTGTTTTATTTATTTTGCCAAGCATGCTTTTGATCATATACAGAAGTATAAACATGATTAGGATGACATGAAATGGGTACGGATAAAAGGGGGGGGGCATTAGGACAGGGACGGTAGGCACGCTGGTGCACTTATGCACGCCCCCTTAAAGACCTCTTAGAAATGGGGGTGAGGTCAACAGTAAACAGTCTGAGGTTAAAGGGTTTGGGGAAGAAATCACAGAGTCAGGTAGAGCATTGACCGCTCTGTTGCTGAAGTCGTATTTCCTGCCATCGAGTCTGGAGCGGTTTACCTTGAGTTTATATCTATTGTGTATTGTTGTGGACCCCTTCAATGGTAACAAGAGGTTCATGGTGGGGACTCTCACAACCCCAAGCGATCCATTATTCCAAAGCAGCTTTACTTAAGCTTGCTGGGGGCAAGGAGGGGCCTTAATCTTGGACTTCCTGAAGTCCCCCCCCCATTTTCCAGGTGGGGTCAGGCTGCAGCCAAGAGGGAGGGTATGTGGCTGCCTTGCACTCCACCCTTGAAGACCCCAAATGTGGGCTACGGCTCAGCATGGTGGGGGATGCCTGCAGATCCACAGGATTTGGGGGCTCCCATGCTCCCATGGCTAAGGTTGGAGGGCACTGGCTTCCTTCGTTAGCTATGGGTTGAATGCGGAGATAATGAAGCCACGAAGGAGAATGGGCTCCCCGCGGTTTATTTTTTTCCCCCCATTGTTCCTTTTGCAAGTAAATTGTTGCACACAAGAATTCTCCCAGGAAGGAAAAAGAATGATAAAGTCTCTGCATCAGGGCTCACTGTGAGCTGCATGGCTTATCTTTTGCTATTTCCAAGTGCAAGGATCTGAGAAAGGATAAAACCAACCTCCCTTCCTCCCTCCCTTCCTTCCTTCTTTATTTTTCTTCCTCCCTTCCTTTTTTCTTCATCTTTCCTTTTTCTTTCCTTTTTCTTTCTCCTTTCTTCTTTCTTTCTCTCTCTTTTTCTCTCTCTCTCTCTCTCTCTGATAGAGGGAGGAGAAGAGAGAGGCATTCCAAAGAAGAGCAGTAGAGTTTGTTCCCATTATCAAACAAAATTCACATCCACTTGGTGCATGTTTCCTTTTATTTTGTTTTGTTTTGTTTTGTTTCCGTTTTCCCCATCCAGTGGGATAAATGTTTCTTTCTTTCTCTTCACCGTGTTTGCTACACACTCAGCTTTTAGGAAGTTGGCCAGGCCAACTGCCAAGCACCCCAACCAGCCAGCATCAGCAGTTCAGCCTCTCTTCATTGGTGTCTCCAATCAATCAATCAATCAGTCAATCAGAACAGAGCTGGAAGGGACCTGGGAGGTCTTCTAGTCCAGCTCCCTGATCATCACCTCCAGCGATGAAGCTCTCACAACTTCTGAAAGCCTTCCATCGTGCCCTGTTTCTCCCAGTTTCACCTGTGACAGGTCATCTTTGACTTATGACTGCAATTGAGGCCAAAATCTCTTCTGCCAAGTGAAATATTTGTTAACGGAGTTTTGCCCCGTTTTACGAGCTTTCTTGCCACAGTTAACTCTGCCCCCCCAAAAAAAGAAGTGGGCTTGGGGAGAAACTGGGGGCCACATTTGCTTCTCCCCTGAACCTCAGGCATCACCATGACAACCTCAAGCATCTCTTGTTGGGGCTGCCTCTCATCGCCATGGGGACAAGAAAGAGGAGAGCAGGGTGGTACCAAGTACCGGGAGAGGGAGTGGGAGGGAAGAATATCTGCAGTAGGAAATCAAAACTGTCTGGTGACCAACAAATTCTAGACCTAGACAACCTAGAACTACGCTGCCTTCGGTTTGATCTAGGTATAGTACATAAAATTATATATTGCAATGTCCTACCTGTCAATG